CGGGGCCGCGCCACCCGGCAGCACCCCGGCGTGGGACCGCGCGGAGCGAGCCCAGCCCGCCGCGGCGGTAAGTACGGGCCTGAGCAGAGGGGCTGAAGGCGGCACTTCCCGGCACGGTCTGGGTGAGCGTTGGTTTGGCAGCTGTTCGCCCCGGGGCGGACAGGGGTATGCCGGATTTCGGGTGTTTTTCTTTTCCCGAGCAGGACGGTGTGGCGGTGGAGACGCGGGGGCACCCGAAGGAAGCTGCTGTCCTGAGGGACAAGATGTTGCTCGCCAGCCGTAACGCACCTCGCTGCACAGCAGCTCCCACCAGGAGCCGAAACTCGGCCAGGAGCCATGTGCCAGGCCCCGTCACCTCTCACCTGCCTCACCCCACGGGCCGAGGCTCCCGGCCGGGCACCAGCCCCGACCTCTGCGTCTTTCAAAACGTACCCCTCTGCCTTGAGTTAGGCTAAAGTGCAGACATAACGGAATTCAAACCCAATTTTCAGTTTTTCCTTCCTTAAAACTAACAGTCTTCTGCAAGAACGTGAGATACACAGCAAAGTCAATTCTGGGACAAAACCTTTTAATTTATGAGTGCCACTTAGGTATGTGAATGACTTTGATTACTTAAAAAAATATGGTTTGCAGATACATTGCATTCAGCATATATGAAGTATATTCATCAGCCAGGCACAGCGCTTATTTTATGGTTGCTGTGTGGAGACATCCTGGCCCTCCACTAACCTACTTTCCCCTCTATTTGAGAATGGCAAGAATAGATTACTAATGCTGGGTTGCAGATCTGTGCACAACACAGATATTACCAATTCTGCCTCTTCCTTATAAAGTGACATCTGTCAAATTATCTAAGATCTTCACCTCCCACAAGTACAAAGCATAGCTGCAAGTTTCTTAGCAATTTGGTATTAACTTGAAGTAAAAATTAGTATGTTTACTTGCTAAATAAGTCTGTTCCAGGATGTATATTTAGTAACAGCTATACATTTTTTTTGGCAGAGAGAAGTGATCTGATACCTCAACCAAGACTTATTTAAGGACTTGATCTCAGAGAAGACTTCTCAGACTTTACCTAAGCAAATTACACCAGGAAATTGCTAGTACTTAGGCATGAAGTAAACCAGTGCTAGTTCACTCTGCAATATTAATATTTAGCAGCTGGCATAGAAACTATTTGCAAGGTTAAAAACAAAACATACTCATAATCCCACAATCCATACAATAGCATAAGTGAACATACACCTCATTTCCTGGTAAGTATATCCTGCTGCAGTATGCTGCTTTTAAAACCTGCCAAGTTAAAGAAATTCAGTCGCTTTGTTTATACTCATTTGCATCCACTTAATACAAACCCTTGCTACCCTTACAAAAACATATATAAACAAGCATTCTTTCTGCACTTTTGCTTGCAAACTGTTGCCTGCAAGTCATTCCGCTGATATGGTTGGGACTCCTTGTTTAAATAAAGCATCAGTTGCTATGACTAGGGTAACAGGAGACGAAGAGGAAGATCCCGTTCATTACATCTTCTCTTAGACATGCAGTTTAAATAAAAGACCAAGATGTCTTTTAAACTGTCGTAGATGATGAAAAATAATCAGATCTTTGCAGTATCTTGCCACATGTTAAAAGGCACCTCACACATGTAGGACAGTGCCTTAAAAGCACCTGGCTCACCAGCTGATCATACATTGAAATGCACAGCTGGGTTACCATAACTACATAGTCTCTGGTGAGCTCTACCAAGAAAGCTCTCCCCTGTCTCAATGTTGCCCAGTGCCAGTCCCAGTTAAATATACATATGTCCAAATAGACAAAGATTAAGGGATAGCACTAACATTTATTAAGAATGAATACATGGAAAATTAGAATAGTAAAGTAAAACAGCAGCAATGCAAGAGTTCAGGGTTCCATACTTAAAATCCTTATGGTAAGCAAGAAGGGAGTCCCTGGGACAGATGGTAGCGTGGCAGCTTCTGTGCAGAAAGTCTCCCCAAAGCATCTGACAATTCTGGGGTCTTTGTAGCCAATTTTTATACTTTCTGGGGAGAGATGTGGTAATCATCACTCTTGTGCACAGAGTTCTGGTAATCACACAGACAGTTGTGGTTTTGTTGTCCTACACAGCTACATGGCTGTGATCAATTCCATATATGGATTAATTTACATAATTGTGGCTCATTTGTAACACTCAGCTAGCCCTTTAGCTCTGTTACTGCCGACCTGTATCAAGAGTCACAATCATGGGCACGTTTTAGCAACAGTAATGTCCAGGTTTAAGGCCTGGCGCAGGCCAAAGCCCACTGTCATCCTGTATCACTGAGGGACCAAGAGTGAGTGGGCACATACTGCAGGACTCCCCACTGGAGCACTCATTAAACAGCACCTGCTGCGTGGCAGAAATGAGTACCCGCTGCAAAATACAGGAAAGCAGAGTGTGAATTCTACAGATCATCTCCAGATGAGACTATATAACTTTAAAAATACATGTAGCTGGTGTATTTCCCCTCTGCAGTTCATAGAAAACTTGCTTTCTCAATGTGTTAGAGCTGACACTGATTTGAAAGTAACCCTTTCCTTGTGAAGCCACCTTGCTTCACTGTTACCAGTTTATAGTATCACAGCAGGACAGAACATCTTCATTAATATTTTTTAGAAACTTCAAACATACTCTAAAAGAATTCCCTTATTACACAGCATCATAAATGTACATACTGCTCTTCCTTGAATGCCCTGCAATAAAACTTCATGGTCCAGTGGCCAGATGGATAACCTTTCTCTCATCATGGTAAGCAGTCAGCTCAGTGTCACCCACCCAGAATGTTCAAAATTAAATCCAACCCAAATAGTACTGAATAAGTATTAGTCATTCTTTTGAAAAAATACAATAAATATTAGATCTTTCTTTTCTAGTTTTCAGGAGCAGAATAGTCTGCTATCAAGGTTTCTTACATAAACACTACGTATCATCATCAGGCATAACTTGAGGTAGTAGATACGGGGAAATCTCCTTTCAGTGGGATTGTACTGAATAATTAAGAAAGTGCCACAGACCTACCTACAAGGGAAAGCTTGACTCTAGCTGAAGTCCAAGAAAGCTCATTTAGTTTTGCTAACTGCTAAGGAAGAGGACCTCAAAATTCAGATCAGAACAGAGAGGAGTAAAATGCCTATGTACTATTTTTCCCATAAGAATGTGTCAAATGGGGGTTAGCAAGATTTATCACAGTAGTAACCATTGAATCAAGGACACCTGAAGAACAGAATCATTAAATTTAATTATTCCAAAGATAAAAAACCCAAGCAACAAAAATCCTGAAAAACATTAAAACTGTGAGCGTTTTCAACTTTGCCACAGGAGTTATTTGTGCAAGAAACTTTTATCACAGTAAGTCCACAAGCTACTCCTAAATCTTTAGAAAAGTAAGAGAACTTAACTGGCAGACAGTGAAGAAAAGGGGTTAAAGAAAAGAATTGATAGGCTGCATGGTGAAAATAAGGATGATTACAGCAGGAGTTTCTGGAGACATCTGCATTGCATCTATAAAGGTAACCATACAATCAGGTCAAAGGTCAATTTAAAAACCTTTACATACACCATTTACAGAACAGAGACATCATTTCAAACATTACATGTGGTAAAATCCAGAGTTTATCCCAATTGTTCTTGAGGAATTGATTGTGGGATCAATTACAGTGAAATTATAGTTTCTCCCCTATTCCGAGACCTTCACTTTGGTGCTCACAGGCACCAAATACATTTTGGTGTCCTCATGAAAAATATTTACTCTATTAGCATCAAATAATACATGTTCTTAATAACTCTGTATGTCTTCTCTCTCTTTTTCCCACCAAAATCAATTTGATATTTGTTGGTTTAGGTTTCATGCAAACAGCAGATACTGCAGTACCCAGGACTACTGACTGATCTGGTCAGGCAACCGATTATATGAATAACATATGTTTACATACAGGTTATAAATAAGATTATTTTTAAATTATGTCTGTAATTAGAAGGAAGGCCTCAAGTTCATGGGACAATTGGAAGAAGTAGAGGTAGACGGGGAACTTGATTTAGCAGGCTTGTACTTCTAGGAATGAAGGTCAAGAGTTTCCAGAATTATGATTTCCAGGTTTCCAGAATTATGATTTCCAGATTTCCAGAATTATGATTATGAATTCCAACATCCTTGGAAAAGTATTAAACTATATTATGATTCCAAACACAAATCAGTCTCAGCTAGAGATAAGGAAAATATCTGGAATCAGAGATCACTAGTGTCTTTATTTCAGATGCTTTTGGTATCTTATTTCCTTCACCTGCTTCTTTTAATTAAGAGATCTAAAACATGCCCAACAAGGGTATTACATGTCTTCTTCTTACCTTTTCATATATTTAAACAAATATTTAATATGTAGCATTCCATCTTGACTTGGAGCAAGGTATCTTCTTTGACACAGTATTGCAACCCAGCCTTGTTTCCATCCTTCTTTCGAACAAGCAGTTCTCTTCTGTAAGTGATATTCAAGTCATAGAATCACAGAATACCAGGTTGGAAGGGACCTCAATGATCATCTGGTCCAACCTTTCTTGGCAAAAGCACAGTCTAGACAAGATGGCCCAGCACTCTGCCCAGCTGAATCTTAAAAGTGTCCAGTGCTGGGGAATCCACCACTTCTCTAGGGAGACCATTCCAGTGGTGATTGTTCTCATTGTGAAAAATTTTCCTCTTGTGTTCAACTAGAATTTCCCTGGGAGTAACTTGTACCCAGTACCTCATTTTTTCCATGTGACTCCCTGTAAAAAGGGAGTCTCTATCTTCTTTGTAGCCACCCTATAAATATTAGAACATGGTGATAAGGTCTCTCCCTAAGCATTCTCTTCTCGCAGCTGAACAAACCAAATTCTCTCAGCCTTTCCTCACATAGCAGGCTTCCCAGTCTCTTGATCATCTCTGGGGCCCTTGTCTGGACCTTCTCCAGCCTGTCCACATCTTTTTTGTATAGCAGGGACAAAAACCAAACACAGTATTCCAGGTGTGGCCTGACAAGCAGAGTAGAGTTAGATAAAGACTTCTCCAGAGTAGAGTTAGATAAAGACTTCTCCATCTCTGCTGGCGATGCCCTTGTTGATGCAACCCAGCATCCTGTTGGCTTTCTTTGCCGTTGCAGCACACTGGTCACTCCTATTGAGCTTGTTGTCTGCCAGCACCCCCAGGTCCCTTTCCAGAGAGCTGCTCTTCAGCCAGGTAGATCCCAGTGTGTGCTGCACTCTTCTCAAATTCTTGTTGAACTTAATAAGGTTCTTGTTAGCCCATACTTCTAGCCTATTCAGGTCTTTCTGCAGGGTGCCTCTCCCTTCCAAAGTGTCCACTTCCCACTCAGTTTACTCAGTTTGGCATTGTCAGCAAACTTCATCAGGGTACAAATGATCCCATGACCCAGATCACTTATTAAGAGATTAAACAGTGTTGGGCCTAATATCGATCCCTGGGGCACCCCACTTGTGACAGGTTGCCAGTTTGAAAAAAGAGCTATTTACCACCAGTGCAGCCTGGCAGCCAGCTCCCTACCCACCACACAGACCACTTGTCTAGGCTGAAATGCATCAGTTTCTCTAGGAGGATGCTGTGGGCGAATGTATCAAAAGCCTTGAGAAATCCAGGTAAACAATGTCCACTGCTCACCCCACATCAACCGAGCAGGTTATTCTGTCATAGAAGGTGACTGGGTTTATCAAACACAATTTGCCCTTGGTGAGTCCATGCCACCTTTTCCCAATCATGTGCTTCATTTGACACGTGATAGCCCCCAGGAGGACTTGTTCCATAACTTTCCCAGGGACTGAAGTAAGACTGATGGGTCCATAATTTCCTGGATCCTTCTTTAAGACCTTCTTGTAGATGAGGGTGACATTCGCCTTCTTCCAGTCTTCTCAGGCATCCCTTGATCTCCACAACTTTTCAAAGATTATGGAGAGTGGCCTCGCAATGACATCGGCCAGCTCTCTTAACACCCTTGGGTGGGTAACATCGGGGCCCATCGATTTGTAGGGGTCAAGCTCCTGTAATAGTTTGCATACCAACTCTTTCTTCACTGATGGTGGGCCTGTGTTTCATTGTCCTTTGATTTAGCCCATCAGTTTTCTGCAATGCCAGTGAAACTGAGGTTTTGTTTAAGAAGGCTTCAAACTGTTAGTTTCCTGTCATCCCAGCACTTTGGATAATAGACCTGTAGCGTATTTTCTTAAAGCATAAGCTATTACAGTATGCCACACTGTATAGTTGCCAGTATATTTGTCAATATGTATGAATATTATACATGGATATATGTATACACAGATGTACACATGCACTTACCTACCCCATATATAGAAGGACATACACACACCCCCTATAATTTATGCCAACATCAGCAGACAATCTGATTTAACTATCATAGTAGAAAAATATTCTTGTAACTAAATAGACATACTGGTATAGTAGCTTTAGAAAATGCCTAAATGATTTCATCATCAAAATGATGTATTTATGACAGTTCTAGGTTAGATGGAATGTAGTATGCTGGGGAAACATAACAGGAGAAGAAAATACTGGTTTCTGTCTTGGTGAATGATGGAAGTTTGTAGCTCAAATACTCTGTCCTTCCTTCTGACCCAGATGATCATATGTATGGACCCTCCCTGTATCAGGCCAATGTGCTTCTGGCCAGTCTACGCTGGAATGATGACTAGAATCTTCCAGTCTGTGTCCTGTAGCTCTGAAGATTCAAAATGCAGTTTTGGCACGAGTACAAGGTAAAATGCCAAGTGACTGAGACAGCAAGTGCATTGCTGTGATAGAACACCATCTCAGATTGTAACAGCTTCTGCACCTGATTCTCACATAGCATTTCTATTTATGAGCAAATAGGAATGTTGCAATTGTACTTACATTAATTTTGAAGTTTACTTAAAGTTTACTAAAACTGATTTAGAGCAATAATATTTTTATAGGAAAAAGTTATTTAGATCTTGATTAAATCAATTTTGAGGCTCACTGAATTAGAGCTGTCTCCCTGAGCCATATACTGCACTACATGCTTTATAATTTTTTTAATATAGCACTTGCTAGCAACTCTGAGTTGCAAGGTAACAAAAACATACATAAATAATATACTAGCAAAAATATCTTCCCTAAATATACCAGCATATCAAGATGCAGAGAAGCCAAAATGAAAAAAAATGGTATCACATTAAGCCTACATTTGAGAAATACCCACAAACACCATGTAAGCACAGATCTATTTTTATCATCCATGTAATTGTCATAGACTGCATTTATCATACCTTTGATATCATCACCGTCAGTCAGATCCAGTGATCCACCTCTGCTATGATTATTTGTACTCCAAATCTTTAAGAAGCCTACAAATGGCTTCCCTTCAAACCAAACACAAAAATTAAACAGTGGGGTTTTTTACCATATAAATGTTCCTCTCAACTCCAGTCTCCCTGCTCTAGCCACTAAGATCAGAATCAAGGATAGTTTTATAATCCCTTCTTCCGTATGTCATTTTAATAAAAAATAATTTGGTTTTAAATATTCCCTGGTGAAAAAAAGGAAAAACTCCATCCTGATGGATGCTATATCCACTTTCTTTTTCCTCACCTGTCTGTTTTCATCTTATCCTATTGCTTTTCTTCCTGTGTCCCTTGCAATCTACTTGTCTGCTATTCCCTGCAATTTTTTCTACACTCAGACTGTTCCTTTTATAATGCTGTTCTCAGGTAAACAGGCACCTCTTATCTGTCAGGCTTCCTCTCCATCTTTTTTTAAGCTCATACTTTTCCACACATCTTTCATACTTCTGTCTCACTCTTTACACGTTACATCTTCTTTCCTGAAGTATCTGTCTTGCCTGGAGCTTATTTTGTTGCCTTTGATTTTGAGCCATTAGAGACGGACAGTGTTT